TCTCTCTCTCTCTCTCTCTCTCTCTCTCTCTCTCTCTCTCTCTCTCTCTGTGTGTGTGTGTGTGTGTGTGTGTGTGTGTGTGTGTGTGTGTGTGAAAACTCTTGTCTGATTTTATCTACTCCTTGAACCTGGTAGGACTGGGGAATTACTGGTTTTAAGGGTATATATGACTGGGAGCACTGATAATGGGTAGAACTAAGGACAAGGAGGAACGATGGAGAATTAAGGAACAAAGTAGAACTAAGAACGATATAGAACAAGGAGAACAAGCAGCAGGTGGAACAATGAGTAATGATGGATTGAAGAGAGAAGAAAAAAGAAACACAGACAGATATTTCCTGTTGTGAGTAGATTTCTTACCCCTCAAATCGTTATCTTCTAATCTCTAGCCCCCTTTAGCCTTTAACTGAACTCTGGAAGGGAGTCCTAAAGGTGAAAATTTTAAGACTTCCTGAACCTCCCCTTGTATTTGGGGAACTGTATCAGGCTCGAGTTTATGCAGGTCTGGTCCGTGCTGTCACCACTGCTGTGAGTTCATATGTGCAACTGGCCTGCTCTGTCCAGAAAACAATCTTCCCACCACAGTTACTGAGCTAACGACATCAGATACCTGTGGGGAGGGGAAGGGAAAGTTGGTTTTCTTTAAGGGTGTTGCCCACAGTAGGTTAACCACATCATAGTAGAAGTTCACATATCCAAGAGTTTAAGGACAGCACAAAACATAATTGATGAATCAAAAACAAACAAACAAAAAAAGAACACAAAAAGGGTAGGTTTATCTGGGAGAAATTGGGGAACGTGGAATGGACATAATACATTGTGCAAAATTCTTAAAGCACAATAAAATGAAAAAAAACCCAAGAAAACATTTAACTTAGTTAAACAGCAAGAGCATTAACTGTAGGGTTTTGAAACTATGAGCAGTTTATCAGTGATAGTAGCGCATAGAATTGATTTGAAAGATCAATACCATGCTGGAGACAGATTAGCCTAAATGCTTCAGAATTTCTTTTAGCACAGAAGAAAATAAAATCTCATTGCTCAAATCATTTACTCTTTGTACATTTTCTGTCCCTGAGTACTTTTCTTGAGTTGTGTTCCAATGTCCTCAGGGCACACAGAAAATCACAAGCGCAATCACAATGAAACCATTGCGGAGACCATTTTAATGTGAAATCTTTGAGTACCTATGTGTTTTTAGATTCTGAATAGGGTGTGAGTTTTATAATGAACAATTGGTCTACTTATCTGAGTTCAAATCTCCCACAGAAAGTGAAGATGACTCACTGAATTCAATTTTTTATTTATTTATTTTTCATTTAAAAATTAATTCCTCCCCTCCTCCCATCCCCCTCCTTAAGTTCTCCTCTGCTGCCCAAGGACTAGCACCAGTATTCCTTGAACCAATCCAAACACAGAAGGGAAAGGAACACCACCAAACTCACAAAGTCAGTATTATTTTGATACTCAAGCTGGATAATGATAAAAATACCCTCCATACCAGTTTTCTCAATGAACACTGTAAAAATTCTCAATGACATTCTTGCAAGTTGCTGGGCATGGTGGTGCACATCCTTAGTACCAACACTGGAGAGACAGAGGCAGTCAGATCTCTGTGAGTTCAAGTCTGGTCTATGCAGTGAGTTTCAGGTAAGCCAATGAGACTGTTTCCAAAAAAACTCTTGTGATTTTATTTCAGGACATACTTATGGGGGATAAATGGATGGTTTAATCATTAAGTGTGCTGACTACTCTTGTAGAGGACCTGAATTCAATTTCTAGCATTGAAGTGGCAACTCATAACCATCAGTAGCTCCAGCTTCAGAGGATCTCTTGTGGCTTCCACAGGCACTGCTCATATGTGCTTAAACACTCGCATATATAACTAAAATAATACAAAAGAAATTTTAGCATCTATTTGTTTTAGCATGAATTTGGACATACATGACTGTGTGTGAATATTGCGTGCATGGGGACACACATTCCACAATAAACAAGCAGAAGTCAGTTCTTTTCTTCACTTTGTGCATCCCAGGGATTGAATTCAGGTCCTCAGACTCGTCAGCCAGTGCCTTTACCGGCTGTACATCTTGCTGGCCCTCAGAGCTCAAAAAAGAATAGAATGAAGAGTGAATTAGAAACCCATAATCTCAACATTAGTGATTTCCAATGAATGTACAACAGTTATGGATTTCATCAGAAATGTATACAGCTCTGTAGGAGTAACGGGTACACTGATAATATTTAAGGGCAAAGGAGTAGATTAATTCTTTTTTTTTGTAATTTTATTAAATTATAAAAAGTTTCCATTTACGCCCCTCCTCCCAACACCCTCCCACTCCCCCCCTCCCTCTCCTCCTCCCTCTTTGTCCCCTAGGGAAGTCAGGGTCTCCTGCCCTGTGGGAAGTCCAAGTTAATTCTTTACATAAATTCAAATATAACCAGAGGCATTAAGAAAGTCATGCAAACAGAAACTTCCATGGTGGCTGTTATCTGTTACTGTGTCATCTCAGACAACAATTCCAAGTGCTTGGGTCCATTTGTAGAAATGATACTTAAAAAATAGTGGTTTGAATAGCTCAGAAACATAGGGTAGATACAAACATGACTGGAAAAAAATGAAATGACTCCTAATGATATTCTTCTGTACTCATATTGGTGCCTACCCCAATCTTCATCAGACAGGCTGCCTCCAGCAGCTGGGAGCAGCAGATGCAGAAACTCACAGCCCAAACATTAGACAGAGATGGAGGGAGGGAGGGAGAGAGAGAGAGAGAGACAAAGACAGAGAGACAGAGAGAGGGG